GCAGAGCATCGCTGTGACATCATTCCGCTGGTTTATTGCTTCATTCTCAAAATATTTATTATATTCCCCTTTAGCTCGTGTTTTTTTTTCCTGAAAACACAGTGTCGAGAACATAATTGGTTGTCTGCTTGTTTGGCTTTGTTGTTATTATAAACTATACCCCCAGATCGTAATATGATTTTGGGAAACTATGCTTCTAATCAATTTGTCTTTTAAATAAACTGTAAGACTTGAGATTTTTAAAACGACTAGAACAAATCTGCTAGCATAACGGCAAAGCCCGGAACTTTCAACTGCCTTTTAAGGTCAATGGAAAAATGCTGGCATTTAAAAACATTGATTATTTCATTTTGAAAAACAGCCTACCACAAGATATGTAAAACTTAAAGCGATACAGTGCCGGTTTTATAATATTCAGACACAACAAACAACTATTGAAATTTCAAACGCGTTTTTCTTAGACTGGGCTAAGATCAAACAAAATGTGAAGAAAACAAAAGTTGCCCAAAAATTCGAAATTGAAAAAATTTTGCAATTTGTTCCCCAAAACTCCCGATCAAAATCTAACAACATGACGGTTTTGTTAATTAATGAAGAATTACGGTGAAACTAGCAGGTGAATTGATGAGAAATTTACATCAAAAGAACCCATTCCACAGCTCAACAACGTTCCAGAACAAAAAACTGCCAAAAACTTGCGTAAAATGTTTGAACTTTGTTTTCAGTCAAAGATTTGTTTTTTTTTTAAGTAAAAAAGACTTTTATTGGTTATTAACTGAAAAAATTTTCGCTGATAAAAATTTTTAGTAGTTTTATCTTCCTAGAGTTTTGTTCAGATGTGTAGGAAACTTGTTTCGATCAAATTTTCTCATTAATTCACTTGGTAGCTTCAGCGTGTATCTTGATATGTTAAAAAAGCTAAAATGACCCATTTTTAGGGTGAATTTTTGGTTGAAAATGTTGGAAAAAATACCACAAATAAAACTAAAATGAGATTTTTAGCAACTTTTGATCTCTTTATTTATTATTGTAATTTTTACCGAGTTGAGAAATACGCGTTTGTAATTTCAAGAGTATCACTGAGCGAGCGTCCGTGCAACGGCTAAGGCGGAAAATAAGGAAATTTCAATAACGAAATTATTTTTCAAATTTAATGCGCACTGAAGTAGACACAAACTTTTACAGAAAATCAGTTCGGTTTACAAAATAATTAAAGTTAGCTTCAGTTATTTGGTATTGTAGACTGGTCACCAACTGATCATGAAAGGTTTCAAATTTGTATGTTTCTCTGCGTTTTCCTTTTAAGTTTTGCTTTTTTTAGCTGAGAAAGTTTGTTCTCAGCTTGGTGTCTATTTGATTGTCATATAATCTCGACAAACTGCATAAAACGATCTTCTCTCGGCTGACAAGGCCATTTTCATAATGTCATTAACGTTAATTGTTGATGACAATTCTCAGACATCAAAATATTTCGAAACAGCTCAAGTTTTAACCTCGGCTTTTTCTTTAAAAAATTTCCTATTCCCTGCAACTTTGCAGCGCTGTATTTCGCATACAGCAAAGCATAAATAGACTAAAAATAATGTCTTTAATCAAATCCGAACAGTTTCCAAAGCGAATTAAACCTGCGCTTACGCATAAATAGCACCAAACTTATCGACTGTTAATTGTTCCAAATCGGCCGAAGTAAAAATTTTTAAACTTCTATAACCTTAAAAAAGTGATCACAAGTGACCATTTTTTTGAATTGAACTCAGGGCAACAATATTTTTCAAATTATAAAAAAATACCGTCACAAATGAATAGTCGGAAAGTCGAAACTGATTTGGAGAATGAAAACAATCCGATCACAAATAAGTTTGACTTTCTTTGAAAGTCAGAATAAAAAAATTTGTTCAATATGTGGAAAAAAAACATCATTTTTTCTAAAAATCTGAACTGTTCAGATCAATTTTTAAATTGTTTTAAATCTGTTTTGAGTTATAACCAAGAACTAAAAGATTATTACGTGTGTCACTGCAATGCATTGCCTTAAACTTTGGTTTGAATAACTGAAATTGGATGAAACTAATACCCCATGCCATATTTCCTTCCCACTCTTTGAGGGTTCAAAAGAAATATATCTGTCACTGAAACCCAACTTATAAGTGCTCCATGAGAAAACTTGAACGGTAATGGTTTGTTGTTTCAGAGCGTGGATCGTGTTGATTGTTGTGTATATTGTGCTGCCGCTCGTTGGCTGTATCTGTTGTTGCACTATTATGGGGACGGCCTTCTATTGCATCTCGAAGCAAGGTTAAAAGCTATTTCTCTCAACTGTAACAATTTCGAGTCGCGAGGGGATGACGCTTAGTTTTTCGACCACATAATTTCATTGGATTCCTATGATGTTGGTGTACTTGAGTTTCAAAGTTTCCTAAACTTCAATGCTTTTGTTCGAAACGCAGAATACTTCGACTGTCTGAATTGAAATAGCTGACAATTTGCTACGTTTCAAATCTTAAACAGATTGGTAAAGAAATTGAATATTCTTTCAACATTGTATTTCAGCCAATCGGTCAACTGTAGTTGTGCACTCTTCCGCCCCACCCGCTCCGCCGCCCCAATACTACACAAACAACCCCCCTTATCCAATCTACCAGCCCCAACCACCCGCATATGGAGGCGGATTTCCTGGTGGGACGACGAACCCATCCTCAAACTCACCCGAACAGGGAGCTGTCCAGGGTTCGGGTTCGAACCAGACTTGCTGTCGTGGTGTGGCCCGCGGGAGTGAAAACCGTATGGCAGATGGCGTTGAGTGGAAGACAGACCAGAGCTACTTGAATAACCACCAGCAAGCTAGCTATGGATTTGTGCAGTGATGCTGGGAGGGGATCCTAACAAAGCTTCTATGGCTATATGACAATATGCATCTATGCTATGTAAATTTTCAAATACTCTGTGTAAAAATGATTTTCTAACAGTAGCTTTAATTTAAATATCATTTTGGTTTTGGAAAAAGTTTAATTACACAAGCTCAACATTTTGACAAATTGCAGCCGAGTTTCAGTATGACCAATACCCGGAATAGCCAAAATCTGCGATGTATACTGTTTCTTAGAATCCATATAGAAGATTACTGACAAAAAATCGTTAAGTTAACTTTTTTTTCGTTATACAACATATGGTTGTTTATTTTTCGAATGGTCATTTAGAATGCTCAAAATGTTTCATTTTCCGAATGGTGAAAAGTCAGAGGAGCTTAGCAAAGTGGTAAAGCGTTCACTTCGAAATCGTTAGATCGTGTATTTGCTCCCCTGCTATGGCAATGATTGTGTGTGCGGACGAGCTCGCACTTGACCTGCAATAGTGGTATCACGTGAAAATTCAAGACGCAAAAAAGGCGGTTCGCTCGTTAAAATAACTCAGTCTGGAATGTGCGAAAATAGAAGAAACGGATTATGCTTAGACAGCCCGTACTGAACTTTTTGTGCCATTTCACGGCTGATCATCCATTTAGCAGGGGACAGAATATTCTCAGGACTGTTCCCCCATTATGCAGGGCTGTTCACAAGTGAGCATGCGTATTTTTCTACAAACATGGTCGTACCTGGATCTTACATGATCAGACCTGAGTGAAACATGTTCATGCCTGCCGCAGACATGATAACGCCTGACTGAAAACTTGACAAATACATATTTATTTATACATTACTTCGCGTATCTTGACTAATTGGTCTTTGTTGTTAAAATTTCACTTTTTCAGATTTTGTTCGAAATGAGTTTATCCAAATTTACCTCCTCGAGCCAACCATCTTCAAATGAAGAAAATTATGTCGTCTCTACATCCAAAGCATGTCATATATTGGCTGCTTATCGCAGTAACAAAAACTAACTATTGTGGTGCCAAAAATGGGCCCGCGCATAGATATACTTCCTGGACCCCTACTTCCGATTTTATGCCTTCAGTGAATATTTCCCACCCCAACTTCCGAGACCATTTCTCGATTTAAAAAAATGGAAACTACTAGCTCTTAGTAAAATGAAACCCTCGGACTGAAAACAAGCAATTTACGCAAAATGAAGAGCGGGAGCATATTGACTTTTAGCAGCAATTGATAATACAATAAATGTATTGCTTTGAATAAAAATCGACCTGATTTGTCTTAGAATGGGAACCAATTTTAAAACTTTTTAAAAAACGTTCGCATCACGACTGAAAGGACTGTAATATGATGTATCAGTCCACAAATTCCAATAAGTGTTTATTTAAAAAATATACACCAAGAGACAAATTTCCCCACCAATTTCATTGGTTGGAACAAGAAAGAATTTCCCTTTGCGTCATACTACAATGAGGCAAACTCGCTATCTAATCTAGAACATTTTCTATGTAAATGCATGATGTTTTTAAGGTGAAAATGAAAGTATGCTTATCATATAAAAAAAAAAACAAGACTGCTCGTATCAGGGCGAAACCCTGAATATTCCGACTGCCTTTTAAGATTTATGGAGCAGTTATTACATTCAAAAAATTAAATGTAATAAAACAAAACGAAAATTTTTTTTTCAAAAATTTGAATTTTTTTTTAAATCATCCCCCCACACGCCTTATAAAGTACAAAAGGATATATTTCGCTCCTTGTAACAAATAAATTATGGCAATAAGCTTCGTCCAACCCATTTGGAACGATTTCTATGACGGATTAAATATCCGCTTACGCGTTAATAGCACGAAATATATCGCGCGTTAGTTGTCCCAAATTGGCCAAAATGGCAATCTTTAAACCCCCGTAACTTTACGAAAAATGATCACAGGTAAAATATCTTTTAAAATTTGAGCCCAGGACAACAATAGCTTTCGAATGATAAAAAAAGTCCGTCAAAAATGGCTAGTTAAAAGGTCGAAATTTGTCTGAAGAAAAAAAAACCCACCACGTGCACAAATATTCCGTTACTTTCGTATCGAGAGTCGGAACAACAAGACTGCTCGTAAAAAATTAAGTTAAGTTGTGTGTTTCATGTTCTTTTTGTGGAATAGTCTGTTCTGCCCGACAATTTTAAAGACAGGGCTATGGGATTGTAGCGGGCTGATTGGATCAGATAATCCGAGGGTGCCACTCGTGATTTCGTGCTCGTGACTGTGCCCCCCGACACTCCCCCGCCACTGCTCACGTGCAGTGTCTCGACAACACTCTCGTATTTCACAATGACGTCCCTCTCGCAGTCTGCCTGTTGTGGGTAGAACACTCTTTTGAGCAGCCGGCGGGTGAACAGAACATAGCAGGTGGAAACACTGGAACCCAGAAAGAGACAGCCCATTAACAGACAACTGTAGTAGTACCCGAAGTGGTCCATGAACACCCCGCCCACCACAATCGGGCCCAACATTCTACCACTTGCAAAACATGCATTAAGTAGGGCTGCGGTCATGAGCTTCACGTTATTCTCAACTCTAAATCCGACAGCGTAGGCCAGTTTTTCAAATATGAGATAAATGGATGTGAAGCCGCCGGCATTTGCGATTCCCACAAACATTAGACAGGCGATCAGCCAGTATTTAGACTCGAGAGAGGGAACTATGTCAGGTAGCCATAGCAGTGCGTACGAAAGAGCACCGCAAAAGCAAGATATCAAAAGAATCCTGCCCGCATGTCCACGGTCAATTAACAGACCTAATAAAGGAGCAGAAAGGGCATAAAAGCCAGAATAGGCCAAGAAATAATAGCCGGCAATGTCACCGCCGACTCCAAAAGTGTCTTTTAAGTAGGGACCGATGGCTACGTCGATGAAACCCATTGAAGCGGAGTGACCGAGCACTGGAAGAGAAACTCCGATTAAGCTCGGCCGGGTGGCGAAGTAAAGAAAGGTGTAGCCGGGCAACTCGAAATCCAACATGACCTCACTCCCCTCTGGATGCCCAGACGTAGTTTTCACCGTTTGTTTATTATCGTGTTCAGTTGCTTTATTTGGTAAGAAGAATATGCACATGACTGCAAATAGGATTTGGGTTGCGGCCGCGACTAGAAATGGGGTGGAGTAGCCCCCGAGGGAGTAGAGGGCGCTGCCTATTGTAGGCCCGATCATCAGTCCCAGTCCGATTGAGGTCTCGATCAGACTGGTGATTCTGCCCGACCACTGAGGGTAGATGGGGACCAGAAGAGGTACTCCAGTAGACCACACCATCGAAGCCCCCACCCCCATCAGGGCACGCACTAGGGTGCACACAACTATGAACGGCACCCCACCCACGCTGTAGCCCATGACTCCGAACAGTCCATTGCACGATGCAGAGATCAAAGCACCCGTGCAGAAGAAGAACTTCTGAGTCTCCGGTGAAATGAAGGAGGCGAGAGTGAATGCGGCCAAGAAGTTTGCCACGTCAAACGCACCGGTGATGACGCCGATTAGAGTTGTGGACACGCCTTTGTGCTCGGAAGCTTCTGTTGGGAAAAAAGGCCCGAGTTGTGAATAATTCAGTCCCTCCCCAAGAAAGAAACTGAGACCTAGAAATAAGGCGGTCACTTTAACAAGCTTGCTTTGTTTCATGGTTTCAACTGGGTTCGCTATTTGAGAACTAATTAAATTGCAATAATGTTGGTATTTGTTTATTTCTGGATCCTACTTCATGTGTTGTCTAACACGATATCGTATCAAACACTGTGTGATTTATTATTATCAAACTAGCAATACAATTTCACAATAATTAAATATGGCGAAGCGAAGAAGCGTATCAAAGCTCTTCCAGTCCTCATTCGGATTTCAAAGAACGAAAACGTGCATAACAGTAGCATATTTAGGGATTCGACCCTTTAAGACATCCATTTTTGGCTGAACACTCTGAAAATTTCTTAAGGCGCCAAAACATCATACATTAGTTTTGAGACAAAGTATCTAAAGCGCCTTCCACAAAATGCTTAAAAAATTCTTTTCACGGCCTACTTTTGCTAAAATTTGGTCAAAATAGGCTCCACAGAGCTCAGAAAACCAATTTAGCCGACCTAAAATAAGGTCGACTAAATTTTCAAAAAATTGTTGAAAATTCGCTCATTCGTCCTCGAAAAAACTCTAGATCCGCCCCTGGTGCATAAGTTTTGAGAATTTTGCTCAAAAGTTTCCGATTATCAAAAGCTAACTCAACTCGGTTCCACTTTCAACCAATTTATTTCTACTGTAATCTGTAAGTTTTTAAAATGAAGAACTCGCAGTAGTGGAGTTCATAAACCTAGTTTTTTTTAATTGTCGTCTACTAAAATGTAGCCAATAGAAACTTGGAAAAAAGTCAATAAACGCAAAAAAAATTAGAAAAAATGACGTGTTTTCTTTAAAAAAGTTAAAACTCTCGAAATGTACGAAAAAAGTGACATAGCCTTTAATCTATTTGATGAACAGTTTTTGATTGACACTTTTTTAGAAAACTTTTGGAGAAAACTAGATGAACAGAAAATTTTTCATTCCGCTGGAAAAACTGAAAACTTATATCCACTTTCAAAACTAAAATTCGACAACGTTTTTTGTGACCTGTACTTTTTTGCTGTTTGATACTGGAGGCCAAACTGTATGTTTTGTGGATTTTAAGAGGATTCCACAGTAAGTCCGCTCTCTTCTATCAATTTTTGAGCTTTTGAATCCGACAGCCATAAACTGATATTGTAAAATATTAACAAATGAGGACCTTTTGGGGTTCAAGGTGTCGAATCCTTGAACCCCCTCCCTCATCTACTGATTCCGCTGCTGCCTGTATTTAAATCAGTGGTCAGATCATTCTGTCCTACTTGCATATCACTCGAGTGTTCTCGGTTTTGTTTAATTTTATTTGGCGTCAATTGTTGAGTATTTTTAAAGACATTTAGGTATAGGTGATTTGTTGCAATACATTTCTAATTTAAGGTGGTGTTTCAATCAAAATACAAACTTTTGAAAGTCTTTTCAAGGCATTAAATCAGTTAAAGCAAACAGTTCGATGTCACACAGAAGTATAACCTCAGAAGTATAACCTCGCATATTTTGGAGAACATTTTTGCTCTCATTGTTTGATATTATGGTATCAAGGCCAGCTCAAAGTGAACAAAAAAGGCATTAAGTTGTCATTAATTTCACTACCTAAATTTCAATTTTTTCTAAAAACAGAAAAATACTGGATTGGAAATATCATCTTGGGAAAAACTTACCATAATCGTTTTGTGCTTTTACGGCTACAGGAGAACAAGAATAAAAATTCAATGTGTTGGAAAACAATTATAGTTCAATCTAGGTCCTGAAAATATTCCAAAAATTTCTAAAAAAAACTTCAGTTGGTATCCTTCATTTACTTTTTTTAGATAACTTTGGTTATAAATTTTAAGATAATATAAAACATTCACCATTAATAAGTAGCTGGTGGCTTTTAAATTGGCGACTAATTCTGAAAACAAATAAACAAATTCAAAAAAAAATTGGATTCAGAAATGACAAAATAAAACTAGCGACCTAAATAACTTTGTTCAAAGTAACTCAGTTCCTGCAAAAAAACTACTTACTTCAAATTAAATTGAACTCCCCTGGTAATTCAAATAGCAATGTCTTGGAATTTTTCATTTCGAAAGTTTCACCTAATTTGACTGAATTGATTTTGATGCGGGTCAGAATTGTATCAAAGTTTATTTCGGTTGGGATCTCAATGGCTTCGATTGATGATTCTTCTAATGGGTACTTAATATGGAAACCCAACTCCACGTCGGATGGTGTGATTGGTCCGATATGGTTCATTGAGTTCATGGCGATATGAGTAACCTTGTAATGATCCATAATGACCTATAATAAACATCGGAGTGAACATATAAATGGAAAAGAGTTTTTTTGAAGATAGGACACTTAACACTCAGCTGTTGAATGAAATTTGAAAATTTAATTTTCAAGTTAAGTCAAAGAGGAAAACAAGCCTAACTTTCAGGAAGTTAGAATGAAAAGTAACTTATAACTTATATCTAATTCGAGCAATAAAGTCAAAATTGAGTTTCATCAAAGCCATCTTTTAAAGAAGATATCTCGAATTGGAAATAAAAGTCTATATACTTTTGGAAAAGCTTTAATGAAGTCAGGAGAACAAAATCATGAGTTATTTTATATATTTTTAAAAAATCGTCATTTTAAGTTTTCCACTTTTAAAAATTATAATTTTCAAGAAGCTTTTGCTTAACTTACCTAACTCAACTTGCAAAAAATGGATCAATAAAAAAGTTTACTCCGAAAACCAAAAATAAAACAAACAAGTTTATCTATTAAACTGAAGCTCCATTAGGTTTTTGTATCATTTCACTTTGATAATTAGCGATTGTAAGTCGCCCTTTTTTTGAAAAAAACTAATACTCATTTATTTAAAATAAGCCACGAAAGTCAAAATAATTTAAGCGTGAACATTTTGATTGACATTTTCTTGAGAAAAAAAAGGAATGATTAGATGCAAAATAGTCGGCTCTTTTTCCTCTACTTTATCTTTGAATTATTACAAACTGTTTTTTTTGTGATATCCAGTTGTTACAAAAAAATGGCATGCGGACTAACTGCTTCTTAGCAATTTTTTTGTGTTTATAGGCAATTTTTATAAAATTCCTCGTTACACCATAAAATCGATGCTTATGTAAGGTAATGGAACACAATGTTCAAAACAACATGAATAGACAATTAAAAACAGGTAAAATCAGGAGACATAACAAAAAATCAGCTATTTTTTGAGAAATTTAACTTTCAAACCAAGGAGGACAACAAACCTTTCTAAGAACTTCTTCAATAGCAAGATGATATGAATTTGTAAAAGTTTTGACAGTTTGACTAGAATCAAACAAGATCAATCCGTAAAAATGAGTAAGCTTTCATTCATCAACCTTAACAATTTTTGATTCTGAAATTTTGAATCTAATTAATTATTTTATCTTGTAAGAAGGCGTATATGGCCTGCAAATTTTTCCAACCACTGTAATTTGCATTTATGTGTGTTTTCGTTTTTTCTTTTTTTTTCTTATTTTTGTTTCGAACACAAAATCAGGTACCATTTATAACCTTCGAATTGGGCAAGAAAAATATTGTTTTAAAGCTTTTTGAGTCGTGATTCGAACAAAAAAAAAACACTTTTCAAAAAATTGTCCCCTTGCCGAGAAAAACTGGTTTAATTGAGTTTAAAATTTTTTTTTTAAAAATGGTTTCATTTTTTGTTTATTTAATTTGTGAAGACAATTGGAGTCGTTTATACCTCACTCGCTAAAAGTTTACGCGTTCGTATAGTTTTATGATCACACGACGCATAAGAAAATTTGAAAAAAAAATTCTTTCAAAATGTGGTCGGAACATTCTGTGCTACTTGTACAGCAACGGGCTATCCTTGTTTTCATATGTCTGTTTCCAGAGGTTCTTATGTCAATACATTGTTTTCGCCATAGAAAATCTCGAAGTCAAACTGCTAAAGTATAAAAAAAAACGCTATTAATTTACAGGTTTTTTGCAGATAAAAAGTGCCCATTCTGAGTAAAAGAACTGTTCGTTTCTTTATATTATATACACAACAAGACACCTGGTCGAAAAAAATGAAATTTGATTGCGTACAAAGCGGCATTGAAAAGTCAAAAAACTCGAGAAGTCGTTCCAGAAAAAATATTTCTGATTTTAATTTTAAAAAAACTAATTCAACTTGAGACAATTGGATCGAACACATCTTTTTTTACCTTTTAAAAATCCATTTTTAAAGCTAGCCACGTTTTTGCAACTTTTTAATTCATATAAACATCAGCGAAAGTTGATTATATGAAATCCAAATAAGCTCAGCTAAAAAGAAACCAATAAAAAAAAATTGAGCCCAAAAATATTTAAAGACTTTTTGCCTTAATATAAACTGCACAAAATAAATAAAAACCCGAATGACTGTCTCCACTGGCTTCAAAGACCTTAACAATTGATATTAGGGAAAAAAATTACATGCTGTAAGCAAGTTAATGTACTTCACTTATGAACTTTTCAACTTTTTGTCTTGGGATGCGACGTATCAAGGAACGTAAAATCTCCAATTTTTGACGTGCCTTGGAAATAAAATTAAGACGGATACTCTCATCTGATAAACTGGATGTTTCTGCACACAAGGAGAACCCAGGGAAACTCACAACAGTCAAGATCAGTTGAAATACTCGATAACTATCCGATTTTGGAGTTTGTCTTCCTTTTAAGAAAAGAATTGAACTGTACAAATAAAAAAACATCAAAAAACAAACCGCAAAAAGTAGACCTTAAGAACAAACTTAAACTAATTTTAAGATTTTTTTAGGAAAAAAAACGAAAAAAAAATTATCGCAACCTACATAAAAGGCTGAGCTACGTTCATTCGTTAATTTTGCCAAAATAAAATAATACATTAAAATCCATTACAAAACAATTTGAATCTATCATTTTCTGCATTGATAGATGAAGAATTAGAAGCTGCATTATAATAAATTTTTTCACTCTTTCTTGAGATGCGAGTTTTAACGCACACAAAGCCGTTTACAAGTTTTAAGCTAAAGTTGGCTATATTGTTCATTTTTAATTTTTTTTTCTGCGCAACTTTGATTTCGGGTACTGATTTAATTTATTTTTATTGAACTGTGTTGCTTTCAACCATTTTCTGAGTTTTTTAAGGAAACGTTGGAGGGTATGTGGTTGGAGGTAAGCATTTGTATTCATGTTTACATGTATGTATGGACCAATTTTGAGAGCTGGCACGTGCTGAGAAGTTGCAATTTTTTTTATCAGAATCTTCCAAAATGTGACCAAAAATGGTTGGTTCTTGGGGAGGCAAGGGTTAGGGGGTGGTATGGGGGCAAACATGAGGGCTGTTTGTGGTTATGGAATCATTATGCAACTTGAAAAGTTTACGTTTAGAAATCAAGTAGGCTGTAAACTCGTTTTGCAAAATTTCTGAATAACTGATTTAATAAACTGAAAATTTTGCATCATTTTGCACAACGCGAAACTAACAAAGTGAAAAAATCCATTTTAATTGATTTTAAATGGATTATAATTAGTTTTTGATTTTAAAAACAAAAAACAATAGATTTTAATCGATTTTTTGTTCGATTTTGTTGTCTGAGGAGTGCAACATGGGAATCGATCAGTTTGTTAACATTTCAGACCACAAAATCCATTATAATGGAATACTGATCTCTTTTCGTAGGTGCTGGTAAGCACGGAAACGGCCGAAAGAATCAAAATCTCAAAAATGTCGAAAATCAAAGAAATGTGAATTGCGAGTGGCAAAAAGTAGAGTGCGTTATATCATGATCGAACCGGTCAAATTGACTGGATTTGAAACTGCATACAAGCTCAAGTTACCACACAGCGGTCCTATTTTTTCTCCTTTGATTCTGGCACTTCAAAACTTCTTAATACTTTCAATGATGATGAATGCTCAAATTTTTGATGAAAAAGTTTTGATGATTATTTATGATGAAAATGATGGTTTTTATTTATTTGCTCGCCAGATTAGAAGCCCTTAACATTGAGTCTATAATTACGAAGAAATGATTTTCTTGGTTGTTCTACCTGCATTTGATCGTGATTGTTAGCAGGAGCATTAATTACCAATTCGTCAACCATAGACAACGCAGACAGACACAGAGCTCGATGCTCCAAGCTAATAAGGGGATAGTTTGGACCAACCAGCCCACTTATAGTTTGATCTGAGAACAACCCAACCACTAAATAGTCTCCATGACTCTTCGCTTTTTCTAGAAAATCAATTGTTCCAGCATGACATAGGTCAAAAGAGCCACAGGTGTAAACAATTGGTTTATTTGTTAATTCTTTCTCGCCATCATCAGTTATAGAGTTGTTCTTGCTCTCTTTGTTTAAATTGAAATGATTGGGACTGCTGCTGTCAAAAAATGTAGATCTACACCACACATTGGCCGCAACTTTGCCGCAATTTTCTTCCTTCGCAAATGCGGATTTGGACAGCTTCTGTTGAGGAATTTTATGCACCTAAATTACGGATATCTCCCGAATATTGTAAAATGAACAGATTGCCTATGCATGCTGTGATCTAGCTTAAATTTAATTTTGACTATGATTGAAAGCTATTGGGACTATTTCGAAGATGTGTTACTATCACTTGAGGGAAACCGTCCAAAAACTTCTGGAGCCAAACTGAGTGTCTTTCTTACTTCTCCCAGACTAGTATTCTCGTCACAATTACTGTTCTGTTGGCTGTGATTGTAGTTGCCGTTTACTTCTCTCGTCTCTCGTTGTGTCACCAGCCGAATGAGTGCGCCGAGGATGGTGGTGGTGGAGATGCCTCGGGTGCGTCGGATGATCTTGTACATTCCGGCCGTCTTTGTCTCCGAATGACAGTCTAGTCCGTCGGCCCCGATGCTGATGTCGTCCCCGTGCACCGAGTAGTCCACTCGGAACTTCTTCAAATCCGCCACTGTCAAGCTACAAAAAAACGTTAGCATCTCAAGCTGGGGCGGGTCTAGGGTTTTCTCGGCGGGAGAGATGAGCGCATTTTCAAAAAAAAAAAAAAAAAAAAACAAAAACTTGTAAGTCGATCAAATCAATTTTCTGACTTCTCCGTAATTACTAAGACCCAATTTTGAACAATTGTTTTTTGCGCCGCAGGGAACTGTTTTACAAAAGCAGGCCCAAACAGATGTTTTTTCACACTTATTGGAAGTTTTTGAAAACTTTCAATTGTTTCGTGCACTCTTGCCTAAAGTAAGTATATATTGGCGCCAAAGGCGCCTGTAGAACAGCTAGAGGGTTGGTCAGCCGAAGAGGGTTGGTCAGCCGAAATTGGATTACGTACAACAATATCAAAGGGTTCCTTTGGGTGGTCAAGTGATCGAGTCCTTCGAGGTATAGAGTGAGGCGTCTTTCCCCTTCCCTTAATCCCGCAACTGCTAATGAGCAAAAAGACGCATACCGTTTTTCTCAAAAATCTTGGTGTACACGTTTTGAGCTATCTTTCTTGAATTCGAATCACGACTGAAAGTTGTTAATATCATAATAACCGTGCCAGGACATTTGTGTCCCAGACATTTATGTCCCAAAATTGTCCAAAAATGTCCGGGCTATTGCTAGTTAATCATTACGAGGCCAAACTTTGCACTGGGTAGTCGCACAGTTTTATGTTTGTATGTTCCTGGATTCTACAGACATATCTTTAAATATGCTAAAACTTTGTCGGCACGATCCGAGAAATTGAAAGAACAAAAAAGAACAAAGGGAGGGTCATTGTTGTGGAATCCGCTTACAAATAACAAAATATAAAGTTTGGTCTCGTAATTATAAGTAAGAATATAAGGCTTTCAATAGGAGGAATTAAATCAATAAGACCACGCAACTCAGCGATCAGACCGGAAATTACTTTGAGCAGCATAAAAGAGACATAATTAACACAGAACACAAGCCATTTACACATACCTACACAACTATAGCTTAATTGATAATGCTGCCTAACGTAGAAAAGAGACATCACAATGACTTTGTTATTGCTCTTGAGTTCGTGCTGACAATAGAAATTCTTATGAGAAATAAGAACAACGAAATGCTAGTTCATGATGAATACGCATATTTCGAGCAATGTGTTTTATTTAAATGCAAAGGCCGTGCGCGCACTTTCGAAGAGAACTTCACTATCATAAATGATCACACTCATTTACCCGATCCAGCCAATATTGAAAAATTCAGGACAGCTCATCAAACAATTCGGCCAACCAGAGGACGGTTAACAGAGTTCCGACTGCCTTTTAAGGTCTATCAAGCAGTAATAACATGAAAAATTAAATGAAGAAAACTAAAAATATATTATTTTTGGTTTGAAACTTTTGCAAAATCATCCCCCACACACCATATAAAGTGCAAAGTGGTAAATTTTTCTCCAGGTTGCAAAAAAAATATTGGCAATTCAACTGCCTTCAACCAATTTCAAACGATTTTTTAGAAGGTATTAAATCTCCGTGTACGCGTTAATTGTCCCAAATTAGCCAAAATGGCAATCTTAAGACCCCCCCATAACCTTACGATAAATGATAACAAGTGATAGATTCTCCCAAAGTTAAATTCAGGGCATTAATACCTTTCAAATGATACAAAATCCCGTCAAAAATGGCTAGTTGAAAAGCCGAGTTTTGTTTGAAGAAAAAAAAACGACCCCGAGCACAAATAATTGCTTAAATTTGTTACAAAAGTGAACTTTTAGCTCTATGAGTCTTTGGTGAGTTGACGAACCTTGTGCTTAAAGCACCCAGTCCTATATATACTTCCTACTGCTTGTGGGTGATCGTTGAAGAATAAATACAATCAGAGGAACTCTTTTCTGCAGACATGAAGTCTATAAAAATAAATTGGGCTTAAATTTATTGCTCCTACTTTTGTACCGAAAGTAACGAACTGAATAGTTGTGCTCGGGTGAGTGTTATTTCTTCAGACCAATTTTGCGACTTTTTAACTAACCATTTTTTGGCGGAATTTTTTTGATCATTCAAAAAGTTTTAATGTCCTGAGCTTAATATTGGAAAAAGAATTCACCTGTGATCATTTGTCGTAAAATTATGGGGGTTTAAAGATTGCTATTTTGACCAATTTGAGACAACTAACGCCCGCTAGATGTCGCGCTTTCAACGCGTAAGCGGAGATTTGATCCATTTTAGAAATCAATCCAAACTGGAAGATTGTCTGTCATAATTGATATTTTACTACTAGCGAAATTTATCACTTTGCACTATCTATGGCGTGTGAGGGGATGGCTTCCACAAATTATAACTCAAATGAAACAAAATTGTTCATATCAGATTGATACCCAGAATGTTCCGACTGCTTTTTAAGGTCTATTGAGCAGTAATATTTTGAAACAAATTGAAGGTAACGAAACGAAATGAAACTTTCTTTCTATAAAATGAAATTTTTGGGAAATTCAACACCCAACAAGCCATAACAAGTACAGAGTGATAGGTTCCGCTCCCATTAACAAATCAATTTGCCATTTAAACTTCCTCCTTTAACCAAGTTGGAACTATTTCTAAGACGGATTGTATCTCTGCTTACGCGCTAATAGTGCGAATTATATCACGCGTTAATTCTCCCAAAATGGTCAAAATGGCAATCTTTAAACTTCAAAAACTTTGCAAAAAATTATGCAATACCCTAATTTTAAATTCGACTGAATTTCACTATTTCCTAACTATCGAAACGGTAATTTGGTGTTTCTCGGTGTTTTGAGACACTCAATGTTTTAGTTTAACAATTCTCAGAAAAGGAAGACGTTCCGTCAAACCTAAGACCAGGAACTTGGCTAAAATTATATTTCCTGGAAACGTTATTATGATTATTAGGATTTCTATGACTATTATTATTTTTAATTTTAGGTTGGATTCACGGACCAGTTAAGCGAGTCTGAAGGGAGTGCTCCCACTCAACGTCAATTCAAAGTTTTCACATGCTTGATACTATCTCTGAATGGCCGGAGTCAAAGTACCTGCAAAAGTATCTTAAAATATGAGATTTGAGACCATGCTTGTTGAAAAAGTCGACAACTTGTTCAATTCTATTAATGAGTCTTGGAGTTCTTATCCAGGAGTTGGCTTCGGTGGCTCATCCATTTGCGATCGTTATCAATCACGACCCCAAGGTCTACGCGCTCGGGGACTTGTTCTATAACATGAGCACCCATGAAGAGCTCATTCGATCCTCTGAATTTCAAGTGTTTGCGTTTTCCCGCATTAAGAGTCATCCAATTTTCGAAGCAAGGATAAGTTGTCAAGGTCGCTCTGCGCTAATTCGGTTTCGGTATTGTGGGCATTAGTTTTTGCATCTTTCGCTTACAGGTAGCAGTTTGTAAAATCACAGCAGTGCAGAAAATCATTAATTACCACTGGAAAAAATAGAAGACCACGAATCAAGCCTTGCGGCACTCCACTTGATATTGTTCGCTAGCTAAATAAGATGTCATTAAGTTTGTCGCTTATTGTTCGTTTGTGTAAATTTTACGATATCAGTCTTAACAAATTGTCACGCACGCCAAGTCAAAATAAGCTTAGACAAAAGAACACCGTGGTCGACCTTATCGAACGCTTTTCCAAAGTCTTTATAAATTACATCAAAATCATTTTAACTTTCATCTCTTTGGTGGATGTCGTCAAGAAAGCACAGAAGTTGAGTCACACAAGATCGGTTTTTTTCTGAGTCAGTGCTGAGCTTTATTCAGTTCACTACTCAGAAATTTTTAGAGTTCGAAAAAGATACATCATTCGAGCATTTTTGAGACTTCGGAGAGTACTGATATTGGGCGGTAGTTTTCAATTTTTTCTTCTTTTTTCTTTTTGTGGACAGGTATTACATGAGCCTGTTTCCGAGCCCAAGGAATAGCAGCATTTTGCTTGAATTTTAGAAAACTTGGTGCATTGAATGGGAAAGGCTAGGTCCAAAATCTTCTCAAGACGGCTGCTGCTATCCGATCTCGGCCAGTGGCTTTTGATACATCCAGGTTTTCAAGAATATTCGTGATCCTACTTTCTTCAATTGAAAATCCAGTGATAGAAACTGGAATTGAATCATTAAAAACTGGATCAGTATCGCTGGTAAGTACACTTTGGAAGAAGTCTGCCAACAGCGAGTCATTTTGTGTCAACAAGAGCCATACTTTTAATCAAGAAAACAGTGGGTGGTAGTTCTTATCTGCTTGCAGCCTTCTATTGTTTTTTTTATTTTGTTTGCTGATCTGTTTTTTGAAAGAATGGCCAAGTAGTCCGCATAATCTACACAAACACTTTTCTCGATATCCGTATTGAAATTTATGGACTTTAGGCTATTTTATCCAAAATGATCAATTGAGGTTTGAGGCGCTTGACCATATTTGACGTCTTTGGCTAGATCCAGGAATTCAGTGTTCCTCCATGAAGTGTTCGCTTAGGTACAAATCTCAAAAACGCTTCCTGAATACACTGATCCCATTCATGGGACAGATTGTTTACGTTTGACCAGCAGAAGCCTACGAATGGGTTGCTTTGCAGATATTCCGATAATCTGTAAAGAAGCTGAACATCGCATTGAAACAACGCGGCGGTATATAATGTCAGCCTGGCTTTCAAAATGCATTTGATAGGTTTATGATCGGTTTTAGGTGATACTGTTTTTGTCCATGCGCTAGTAGCTCTCACATCAATACCATGGATAAATACAATACCTAGGGTGGCTAGGTCACAATGTCCAAAATTGCTAGAAAATACGTTCGTCAATTTTGAGAAAATGGCGAAGTTCAGTTCAACACAAGACCAGGACTTGGCTAAAAATATTTTTGCTGAAAATAATCCTAAAAAATTCGTTTGAAAATTTTCAGATGGCGAAGTTCAGTCGAACTTAAGGCCAGGAACATGGCCAGAAAACATTTGCTGAAAACATTGCAGGAAAATACGCTTGCCAACTTTCACAAAATGGCGAAGGTCAGTCAAACAAAAGGCCAGGAATTTGGCGACAGTTTTCAGAAAAAATTTATAGGTTTCAAGCTAAGTTTTAGATTGTGTTAAGAACTGATTCGAGATCATTGATAAAATACAATTCGAACTTCGATGTGCACGTGCGAAAAATTTTGCAGTTTTCCAATTAAAAAAACTCAAAAAAATGGGTTCGAAATAAAATTCCAGCCTTAGGAAATGAATCTGTTCCAAAAACCTATTGCTTTAAAGATTTTTGTCTGACTTCTATATGGACCATTGGGATTTTTACGGGACCATTCTTCTAAACGAGGTGTTTCACTATAATATATACATCACTTTAGATTATAATCTGTACATCACCTACACATACATACTTTTTTGATCATAGATCTAACTAGTACCCAAAAACTCAGTTACTAAAAACTCAAAGTTTCCTTTTTGAGCACCAGTCCAACCTGTAGGGTGCGTTTTGAATGATTTGGTCGACCCACTTCACAGCACGCAAGATTTTCACCCTCTCGCTCTGAGAGTAAATAGGCTCCCCCTCCTTGCAGCGTCGAATCTCGTGGTCAGAGTGAGTGGCAGCAACCAGATAGCCCCCCAGCTGCTTGGCCTGGCGCAGTGCATTCGCGTGGCCCAAGTGGAATAAGTCGAAGCAGCCGTCCAGCAATAGACGTTCGTGGGACTCCACTTTCGACGACCAACTTGTACAAATATCGAATGTCATGTGGAGAGAATGGAAGAACTGAATTATATGCTCAGCCTAAATCCAAAATTAAAAATCAAGTTTATGACTTATTCATGACTTCAGTCTGCTTTCGTCGAGATATGGGCACATTAAAACATCAGAGCGATAGGCGATTTTGAGTTGAGAATAATTTAGCTCCTACAGCTACTTGAAGCTAAGATAAAATACAACTGCACAGATCCTAGCTGGAGGAGTTTAGTAAATAGTCTTATTTACAAAGTGCATTCAAAACCTTGAGCTTATCTCTTGTTCGGGGTCACGAGCGAATGCATGCACAATTTTCTATCACGATTTTGTATGCACTATTTATGCACAAGCTCAGGTAGACCAAAAGTAGCTATTGACGTTTCTTATAAGAATCTTGCAACTTCTTACAAATTTAGGCTCTAAGAGTGTTACAAGTTAGGTGTTTTCTCTTATAAAAAAGGATGCAATAGCCTATCGAACCGTTTAAACTCGCATCCCATTTTTAATTAACAGATTGGCTGCTAACGCGCTCAAAGCTATACTACCCGGGTTGACCTCCATACACCGAAAATGCTTATCATATAATTCCATACAACAAAAATCATTATCATACAAATCATTACATCAAGTTTATGGAGAAAATGCTTGTCATACAATTTTCAATCATTTTCGAAAAACAATAGAAAAAAAATTAAACCATTTCTGTGGCTTTTTGAGAACAGTTGAACAGACTGGTGACAAAAAAATTGATTTAAAACATTTTTTTGAAAAAAATGCTTACCATACAATTTCTATGTAAGGAAATTGTATGACTGGCATTTTTTGATTTTTGATGGCGACACAAAAGTAATTTTGAAAATTTGCCCCAAAATATTGTTTGTTTTTTTTTTCAACGGCAAATCGAATTTTGTATACAAGCAAACATTTTTCGAAAAATATTTTTTTGCATAGTCTTGGATACAATAATATTGACTTTTTTTTTCTTTTCACCAAATTTTTTTTCAAAAACGCTAAAAATTCCTGTTTTTTTTTGTATGGCGTGTTTATTTATTGACTTGATCAATGTTTGATAGTTTGAAAATTAAAAAATTTGAAACAAAATTTTTGGCAAAATCACTGAAAAGTTTTGCCAAAAATTAAAAGTTTTTTACTTTGTTATATCAATGGTGAATGACATCTGGTAGGCAATTCAGGTAGTTTTTTATGCCTTGTAAATGTAAGACCACCGTCCAACCTTTGGTGCTTTAAGTAACCAAGGTCTTTGTCACTTGTGTTCGGTTGCAAACACAATCCAAAATTTTTCAGAAAATAAATTAAGATAAAAAAGCAACTTTTTGGTTTATGGAGTAAACACCTATTATACAATTTCCATTAATGGGAAAATGTTTATTATAGAGTTTTCATACAATTTTCTGTACGTATGGAATTGTATAAAATTCTATGAAAATAAATTTCCCGTTTATGAGTATTGTATGATCAGCATTTTTGGTCAACCCGTGTATATAGAAGCACGATTTAAGTTTAAGCACTGCATTCTACAAATATATAAACCAGCATAGATTAAAGTTTCAATTGACATCTTGGAGAGCAATCCCGCACAGAGCGCCCCTGGATCATAATCGATATACTATATCAGGGGAGGATCTAGGAATTTCTCCTCGGATTTTTTTCTGATCTTTTTCTAGAAACTAAACTCTTTTCTGAGAACTCCCAGAGCCTTAAAGACTCCATTTCGACAAAGTTTTTGGGCCGCGGGCAACTTTTTAAAAAAAGGTCAAAAAAGCCGTTTTAGAGCACTATTTGAAAGTTTCTGGTTAAAAAATTTCGTATTTTCGAAGCGCCTTCCTTTTCAAAATTCTTATATATTCGCACCGAAAAACGCCTTCAGAAAAAGCGCCTTCAGAAAAACTTATCGGTTGATTGCCAAAAATGGATGTGTTAACAAATAGAAAAAGCCCTTTGATTAATGAGAGGGTAGAATCACTGAAAAGAGGGCGTCCGGCCCAACCTCCACCCTCACGCTAAATCCGACAGTTTTAGTATGAATCTTTAGAATACGAAAAAAAAATCTATAAAAACCCAATAAAATGGATTACAATTATATTATTTTGTATGTCAAATTATTCCATTAAATCACTTATGATCGATTTTTATGGATTTCTTTGAAAGTTCATTGATGAAAATTACTCATCTTTTCTCAGTAACTTTATTTGCTGTTTACTTCACTAGCTAAGTCTTACTTGTTCCATAACTCTTGAATGTCTTTTGATTTGTTATTTTGTTTTCTCTATTTTGTCGAATCTCAATTTATGGCAGTTTACTGGAACCAGTTCAAAACAAGTGTAATATGTATATCCAATTATACTCATGGTAAACGTTTTCTGTAAAAAACTTAGAAACAACCAATCTTGATCCATGACCAAAACTCACAAAGGATTGTAAGGCTAAAACTAGTTTCAGCCAACGAAACAAATATTTAACTTAGGAAACAGTTGTTCTTCCTAAAATCTACTTCATGAATCTAAACCTCACAACAAAATTAGTTTTCACTAGATCTATTGAGACTAATAGATATAAGAGTAAGATTAGGATTGGAATTGAATTAGGAAGTTGCACGAACCTATCCGGCCGAAAAAAAGATAGTGTGACGAACAGACGGTGTACATTATTCAAAGTTACTCTATGGGAAAGCAACCCCGGATTTAAACTCATCTGCTGCTACTAAGAGAGCCTCGAAAAGAGCTCTAATAATTTGGATTTAGCAAAAAAAATGATTTGGGCACATAGGATCGAAAACGCCCAACCCAATGATTAACCAAGTTGAAAATAAAATTAGCTTATTTCCACGTCTCAATAAATCGAACGAAAAACAAAGCTGACACCATGTCGCAATCAGAACGAGAGACCGAGCCTTTCATCGAAGAAGCAGACTACAACGACTGTTTCTCTACAAAAACCATTTCTGCGGTAAATTTTTACTCATTCTTACAAAAAAATGAGCAGTAAGATTCATTTCAGAGCTATATATCTGACTACTATATTAAGTGAGCAATAAGATTCATTTCAAAGCTATATATCTGACTACGATATATAATTTTCTGACTTATTGGATAGAGAAAATAGAAAAAATAGTTTTTTATATACTTATGATTAGTTTCATAAAAATGTGAAAAAGTTTTATGCTTCTCGAGGAAGTTCTTTTCCTGTTTTTTCTTCTTCATCTTAAACATACAAGAATATTTTAAATAACTAACCTCACTTAAATTTAAATCCCAAATTTTTGAAAATTATTCAACTTTAATTAAACCTTATCATGGACTGCCCTTGTTTCATTTCAACCTAAAGTACTTCTTTCAATCAGATCATCAAGGCTAATCTGAAGTAAATTTCTAAAAAACTTTTAATTTGCTTCTTTTTTGAATAAAGAAAATACAAAAAATTGTTAGTTGTTATAATTATGGTTAGTTTTATAAAAATTATTTAAAAGAGTTTTTTTTGCTTCTCGAGGAATTTCTCTTCCTGTTATTTTTCTTGGTTTTCAATATACAAGCTTCTTTTAAATAACTAACCTCAATTAAATTTAAGCCCTTTTTAAAAATTATTCTACTTTAATTTTTTCTTATCATGGACTGTGCTTGTTTCACTTCAGCCTAAAGTACTTCATTAAATCAGACCATCAAGGCTACCCTTGAACTTTTAAACCTTTAACCTAATTCTAAAACCTAGAAAAATTGTAATAACTCAAATTTATATCCACCTAAATATTTGATAATCAAGGTTTTCCTCGGATCAATAAGTTTTTCTTAATTTCTACTACCAACCTTTTACAACTAGTGTCTAATGACCTCAAACGTCCACTTACTTTCCAACCCCTTATAGGACCCAAGACTAGCTGACACTTTCAAATGATTAACCATTCCACTTAAGATAAACAGTGAAGGTCTTCGGTTACGCATTCTTCACTCGAGCCCTACCTCTTAATTGACCCAGGTCTAGAATTAACTTCAATATTAGTAAGAACTAAGGTAATATCTAACGATCTGATTGTATTTCTATTATAACCGAGACTTGTAGAATAATTTATTATTCTCCAATCTCTGATCTGAAACCAAACTTTTGCATGTAATTTTACACTTGAGTACAGTACAAGATCATTCAAACGAATTGATATACTCTCTCCTCAACCCGTCTTTTCATGACAACTTACCCCGAGGTTTATAATAACTTCATATATAATTTTCTTACTTATTGAATAGAGAAAATAGAAAAAACAGTTTTTTTTATAATAATGATTAGTTTTATTGAAATAGGAAAAAATTTTATGCTTCTCGAGTAATTTCTTGTCCTGTTTTTTCTTCTTCATCTTAAACATACAAGATTATTTGAAATAACTAACCTCACTTAAATTTAAATCCCAACTTTTTGAAAATTATTCAACTTTAATTAAACCTTATCATGGACTGCCCTTGTTTCATTTCAACCTAAAGTACTTCTTTCAATCAGATCATCAAGGCTAATCTGAAGTAAATTTCTAAAAAAATTTTAATTTGCTTTTTTTTTGAATAAAGAAAATACAAAAAATTGTTAGTTGTTATAATTATGGTAAGTTTGATAAAAATATTTTAAAAGAATTTTTTTTGCTTCTCGAGGAATTTTTTTTCCTGTTTTTTTTCTTCTTTTTCAATATACAAGCTTCTTTTAAATAACTAACCTCACTTAAATTTAAGCCCTATTTTTTTAAATTATTCTACTTTAATTTATTCTTATCATGGACTGTGCTTGTTTCACTTCAGCATAAAAGTACTTCATTAAATTAGACCATCAAGGCTAACCTTGAACTTTTAAACCTTTAACCTAATTCTAAAACCTAGAAAAATTGTAATAACTCAAATTTATATCTACCTAAACATTTGATCGTCAAGGTTTTCCTCGGATCAATAAGTTTTTCTTTATTTCTACTCTCAACTTCTTACAACTAGTGTCTAATGACCTCAAACGTCCACTTACTTTCCAACCCCTTATACGACCCAGGACTAGCTGACACTTTCAAATGATTAACCATTCCGCTTCAGATAAACAGTGAAGGTCTTCGGTTACTCATTCTTCACTCGAGCCCTACCTCTTAATTGACCCAGGTCTAGAAATAACTTCAATATTAGTAAGAACTAAGGTAATATCTAACGATCTAATTGTATTTCTATTATAACCGAGAC